ACGCGATAAGCCTATCAGTTAACAAATTACGAGTTAAAGCCAACATTGGCAATAAAGGGAAACAACCGGTACCCGCCGCTTGTTATCCTACTTACTTAATTCCTTGGCGACTAGGTAATACTATTTACTTGGTCAGACCGATTGAATAAAGAGTTCGAATACCGATTGAATAAATGGCCGCCCGATCGTCTATCCTGGAAACAGACAACCAGTCGTCCAGGGGCATAGGCGGCGTACTTACTATTTGTACCTGTCTGCAACGTTCGGCCATACACAACAGTCGGTCTAGTGAACAATGGAATACTTAGACAAATTTGAATCAAAACAAAAATTTGATTAAAAATAAGCCGGTCATTAAAGACCAGCAAAATATTCAAAGCCCCGGCCCCCTGGCCGGGTAAATACAAAGCAAACGGCACGCAGGCCGTGGGAAAAATACTTTAAGCTTAAGAAGGGGGCAGTTCAGTATTAGCAGCTGCCGCCTGGTCAGCACTCTTCTTGCTGGACTTGGCTTCAGCTGCATCCTCTTTTGATGCCTTACCCCAAGTGGCACAAGCGCCACTATCGGCTGCTCATCCCCATCCAAGGCCTCCTCCAACGCCTCGTCCTCAGCAGCCGCCAGGATCTCTTGATTATATGTTTCCGAACACTGGCGGTACGTTCTTTCCCATGAGGCAAAGTCGGCACTGGGGAACAGGCGGCCCCAGGTCATGCGCTGGATTTGAGCGGAGTCTTCCACCATCTCCCGGACGAGCTCTTTCTTCTCTTGCTCGGCCTTTTCCGAGAGCTCTTGGGTAAGACTCTTCTCTTGGCTCACCAGGCGTTCTTTTACGTTGGCCAAAGATTTCTCCATGGCTTCGTAAGAGTGCATTTTTTGGCGAAGAGGTTTCAACTCGGCCTTAAGATTTGTGACGGTCGCCTCCAGCTCGTCATTCTTCTTCTGGGCCGCCTCTAACTGAGCCCGAACAGCGGCGGTAGCCTACGCCTGATAATAAAGAAGATCAATGGTCAGTACTTCATTTTGGGCAATTTGAAACATTGCCTTATCACAGCTGGAGGCGGCCATAGCTTTTGCGGCCTTTACCTCTTTGTTTTTCCGATCAATCGGCTTGCGAAGGCTGTTGACTCGGAGCAGGGCCTAAGTACAAAAAAAACAGGCGTCAGTTTCCAAACAAAAAAGATAACAGGCGTCCTGGAACTCAAATACTCAAAAATATGCTAAGTATACCTCAGCAAGGACCCCTGAAATCCCATCAAGGTCAAGGGTGCCGGCACCCCTGACCGCCTCCCTTTCAGATGGAGGAACTACTTTGACCATGGACTTGGCTACCTCAACCAAGTCAAGCCCCTGAGGGCCGGCTGCATCAAGCGTAAGAAAAAAAGCAAGTTAGACCTAGTCAAGAAGGAAGCAAGTGTGAAAGTTTTTACAAGTGATTGTCCATACTTCTAGGCGGCCCCGCCGGGGTTTTAGAAGAAGTGGCCGGCTGCTTCTCAGCCGCCACTGTTTTCCTGGAAGACCCAGGAGAACTTGCAACAGTCGTCCTCCGGGCCTTGGGGTCCGGCTGTTGCGAGGAAGAAGCTCTTGGAGTGCCCGACTGAAAATAAAAAGAGTTAGTATATGCATAAGACAACTCCTAAAAGAAGAGTTTTCGAAGCCTACCAAGGGTGCCCCTTGTTGGGGGAGTCGGCATAAGACTGTTGCATGAGAGAGGCCCGCAACATGGCCGCCGCAGTCTTGGTTGCTGTTATTTTACTCATGGCGTCAGCTGCAAAAAATAAACAGCAAAGTTAGTAAAGATCCCAAGTAAACATGGCGTGAAAAAAACAGAGTATTTGTCAGGCCGGCTACCTCTAGAGCACCGACTGCTGAGGCCACAGGCGGCCAAAAAGTACTCGTCATAGAGCCACTTGAAGCTCGGGACGCAGTTTAGGGGTACTTGCTCTCGTACCCCTGAAGTAGGGTTAACCCTAGTCTCTACTTTGAAGAGTCCTTTGTCTAGAATCTCTCTTTTAGCCTTTGGGGGAACAGGCGGCATGCTGCGGCCGCCTGCGAGAAGAGGCGGATCCCTATTCCACTTGTTAAAACGTTGGTTCAGCTCCGTGTCTGAACCCTCAATGATAAGGAAGGTGTTCCGCCAATCCTTCCATTTGTTCGCTTTACCTCTCGTCATGAGGTAACCCCTATGGCTTGTTAATTGATACCAGCCGGTACCTCCCGACTTAGGGGTCCGGCTGAGATAGTTCATGTGGGCGAAAGCCTCAAAGCTTGGCTCCACCCCGTACAATTCGCACCCGGCCACATAGCCGAGTACGTTCACCCAAGAGTTGGGGGCTAACTGCCATAACCCCAAATCATACCCATCTAAAATCCGCTGAACAGCCGGATGTAATGGGAAGCGCAGTCCAGCTTTGATGGCCGCCACATAGCAGCCAAAGCAGCCGTCATCATAGCTGGTACCAGCCGGCCAGACGACAGTGTCTTCTGGATCCGGCACGAACAGTAAAAATTCCGGGCCCATTCTGTGGTTAGCAATAAAGCTCGCCACTTTGTCTTGCATGGTTGCGATCCGGCCCCGGGGTACCATGCAGTAGTAGGGGGCGTTTTCCTCTCTGTAAGAGGCGGACGGCTCCGCCCAATTGTCCCCCTTCTCAACTGCATGAGAAAGTCTCGCCTCTTGTAGGCGGCTATGTCTTTCTTCTGAGCCTGGAGAACTGTGGCCAGAAGAGCTGGACTCGGACTCGTCCTCTGACGAGTCCGAAGAGGACGACTCCTCCCCTCTCCCAGAGGGGCCCGCCTCCTCTCCCTTAGAAGGAGCAGGAGGAAAATTAGACATGTCAACGGTAAGATGGGAAGGGACCACCTTGGCCCCTCTCTCAGAACTGTCGGCTTGGCAGCCGCCTCGTTTCAATTCTACATCTGGCGCCTGGTCAGATGTTTCACTAAGGAGCACCCTTTGGGAGGAGCCGTCTGAGTTTGATATCATAGCAGTCTGTTTTGTTCTGGCCATCACGTTCTGCATAGACACAGATACAATCGGACTTTGTATAAAGGGCAAAGATGGGTCCAGAAAAGGGCACGCGGCACTCCTAGTCCTAGATTCAGCCGTCCCCGGTGACCGGCTGATCACTAACTTAGGTCGTGTCGTGTGCTTCCGTGGTGCCATTTCAAAAAATAAAAAGAAAATTAAGAGTAAGAGAACTGAGTTACCTGAACGAGTGACGGTTGATGAAGTTCTGGAAGTCCGGTGCAGTCGGCTTGTCAGAACAGGCGGTAGGCAGAAAAGGTCCGAAATGTCAGAGCAAGTTCAGGGGTCCGAATGTTCTCGCAAAGTTCTCAAATGTGAAAATGACCGAAGTCAGCACTTCCTTTTATAGGCAAAGTGAGAAGGCGAAGGGTCGCTTCCAAATTCAAAATTTGGGCGGGAAAATCTCTCGGCCGTTTGCAAGGTGACACCTGTAGCAGGCCGTCGCCTGTCACCGTGCGACACCTGTCACAGGCGACACGTGACCAGTCACGTGCCACCTGTGAGGGGCAAATGATTAGGGGATTTTTATCCACCAATCACCGTCTGACAAGTGGACCAACCAGGTTCTGCCACGTGTCCTTCACGAAGGCCAATAGGAGCCTGCCACGTGTCAATCACAGATACGTCCTCTACGGACCAATCGAGGCACGCCACGTGTCCACCCATGCCAAATGGGAAAACCGGCCATCAAGGCCCAATCCTGTCTAGAGGCTTGGTCAGCCCTAGGTTTACCCTAAACCTAGAGAGTGGCACGCTTCTCAAGGCTATAAATACTTAATTAATCCTCATTAATTAAGCAATCCAGAGATCAAGAAATCAAGCAGAGAAGAACAGAAATATTACGGAACACTAATAACCGGCTAATCTCGCTAACGACGCAGATTACCAACATTAAACAGTCTCACCTAGAGAGATCTTATTACTTTAATTTCCGTATTAATTACTCCTTAATCAGGTACTAACTTGATCGTTGGAGGCGGAGCTCTCAGGAGTCTCCGTTATTTTGCAGGTACAGGCGTCCGATTCCAGTCTCGGAATTGTAACTCTCCCGCAGGACATCAGAAAACCCCGAAACAACATGTGTACAATTTGAAGAAGGGATGATGCCAGCAACATTTTATTTTAGTATTAGTTAATAAATATTAACCTTGTATTATTTTATTTAACTTATTTGCATCTTATTTGTATTATTAAACTTGAAAAAAATGAAAATATGTTGTCTTAAGGGAAATGAAAAATACAACTCTTAGACTTATAAACAAGCATTTATTTTCTGGAAGTGGATTGGAGAATTAATTTAGTATGAGAAACCTATATCTATCTTATATATTAAATTTGGGGTTCCAACGCGCATGATACGTGTGAAGTGGCTAATCCTTTGAAAAGAGTTTTTTCAATTGGCCCTAATATCCTATGCCTGTTTGCATGAAATTTTATAATACTATTTGTGCACATGGGATAAATGTGCCAGATGTTGTGTAATCGTGCAATGTTCGAAAATTTAGTAAAGTGAATTTAGATTTAGTGAGAAAGTGACAAAAATATCATGATCTAGAAATGTAAAAGTTTGATATATTTAAAGTATTTAATAAGATGTATCAACGACTAATCAAGGCATCACACGAAAATTGAGAGTAAAAGATATACAGAGTAGATTTGAATTATTATTGAAATGAACACAAGTTTTAATTTTAGAATAATTAATCAATTTAGCATTAGTTAAGTTTTGTTTTCCTAAATGTAATAGGAAAATAGAAAAGAGTTTCTCAAACTTTTAAATTGGATTAAATTTGTAAATAAACATTTTTAGGGTATAAATGTTCGCACATTATTTATAAGAGCTCTTTTAAACTTTTTAAAACGTTGGGAAGCATTCCTGACAAATAATATATGTCACGTGTCACCCTTTGAGGAAGTTTTAACCTATCACATTGTATCTATAAAATGTATTAGATAAAATTTTAATCAAATTACCTTTAGATGCTCTTTTCTTCCTTGCGGGAGCACTAATACCCTGGTTCTTTCGTTCATCTTGCCAATTCTTGATGTTCAATTCCTTGCATTTTCTCTTTAGGGTGGATTCTGAGACTGCACAACAATAATGTAATTGCATCTATCAGTTATTAGCATGGTAAAAGACACCACATTAATTTGACGACATGCACTCATTTTGAAGGTGACAAAGTCTTTTCCAAGAGTGCCAATTGTTGCAATAATTAATGACAATAGCAAGTACTACATCATTTTGAAGATGTTGAAGAAGTAGTAATGCAGTAGTGTTATATGTATTTGTCGTTACATAACATTCAAATTCGTATTTAAAAGTTAATAATTGTACATTTGGGTTGCGAAATGTACCATTGATAGTAGAATAGTACTACTAATGGTTGTAATAGAGTACTTTTGAAGCTAATATGTGTGTTACTAGATTGTCAAATCGTATCATTGTTAGAGTAGTGGTATTATAAATTATTGTACTGGTACTAATGACTACAGTGGTACACAAAAATTTCAAAATGAAAGTGACAAAATGTAGTCTCGTCACCTTTTATTATAGTACTAAATTACATACGTACCAAGAACACATGACAATACTCCCTTTAGAATTCCTGGAAGATATTACTCCTCATTTGATACTTTTTGCTTTATGATGGTACATCATATGTACCAACAAGTGATGTAGAAGTACAAATGAGGAGTAGTGGTACTTAGGGGTGAGCATAACAAGGAACCTGTTAAAATTCCTGGAATTAAAATCGAAATCTGTCGCAATAGGTTTCTCAAATTGGGAACCAAAATCGGAACCGAAACTTGTTGAAAAGGTTCTTGGAAATTGGGAACCGGAATCTACAGGTTCCGATTAGATTCCGATTCCGATTCAAGGTACCCTATCTTGTAATATACGGAGTACTTAACAACTTTTTGCAAAACTTTTTATAAAAAACTAGATAGTCACTAATTATAATTGTTTTAACTCACAAATAAAACAAACTGATAGTAATTGTTGAGCAAATTTAATACATATATTTATAATTGTAATTTTGATATTTAATATTTAAAAAAAAAAAGGTTAGAATTGGTGTGTAATTTGAATTTAAATGATACTTTTATTAGGCTGTAGGGTGCCCTAAAGGTTTCGATTCCAAAAAATTGAGAACCTGAAATGGAACCTGTTGCAATAGGTTTCTCCATTTTGCTACTTGGAACTGGAACCTTTCATACACATTTCGGTTTCGGAACCTGCCGTTCCTAACATATTTCTGTTTTGGTTTCAAGGTACCCTAATTTTTTTGCTCACCCCTAATGGTACTAAACACCTTCATAATTGTACATGCTATTGTCACTAACAAGTACTACCTTCGTCTCAGAAATTCTGGTACGTTGGACTTTTTTCACTATTCATGTATTAGCTTTGACCATGAGTTTTTTACTAACATAATAAAAATATTTTTTTTTATAAAATATGTTGTTAGATAGGTATTAATATAAAGTTTCATAATAATCATTTTGAAAATAATTTTCATTAATATTTAATTGCGTAAAAATAAAATTAAAGTAATGCATTGACATGTGTACAATATTGACTATGAATAACAGTTAAGTTAATGATTAGATAACCTCGATGAGGAGTGTGAAAAAATACTTACTTCCAAGGTGGTCAGCTGCAGCGTCTAATGTTCCTTTGAGGTACGGCAACAAATCTTCCTTGGTCAAATTGCACTTTTTCTTCCTAGCTTTTTTTGAAACTTCGCATTTGACACCTTCAATTCCACGATTAATAGATTGGTATTCATGATCAATTTGCTTATTTGAACGGATGCCAACTTCATTGTTGTGCTCGTCCCTTGCCATTATTGTACTCGATAAGAATGTATAATCTTCTCCATCACCCTCACCATCGATGAGTTTTGTACGATAACTAACTCGCTCTGTTTCAGCCTCCAACTCTTCATAAACAGGTGAAACCATACTTAGCTTATCAAATTGTTGTTTCATCGACGTTGTAATAGAAAAGACCTTAAAATCATCATCTTCTATCGTATTTTTCAAGGTTCTTTGCCAAAAGAATTGCACGATATAGACATCATTTGTCGCGTATGCACTCCCTAAGCATATAGCCAAGGAGCAATTAATCTTAAACTGACGTGACAAAGGCACCAAGGAGAAGTTGTCCGGAAAGCGAGTGATATCTCTACAAAAACATAGTCCTTTTGATGAAAATGTCGTGCCAGCAACCGCCTGTCCTTCAGTCATGTGATACATGGCACCGGCTTCCCAAAAGGGGTAATAGGAAGGGTCTTTCATATAAAAAGGCAACTCTGCATTCGACATGCAGAGTTGCTTCGAATTGCAGCTTCGATCAGGACATGTACAAGGCATCCAAGTTTGTGCCAAAGGTAAATCATGATCCTCGCATACCTTGGTTATCACTTTCAAAATCTCAGCTAGCACTCTTTGCCGAGGTTGGTAATGAAACTGTAAATGAAATTTGTTTAGCTACAGTAGATGGATAATTGCTCGAAAAGATAAAGGTAAAACAAACGCAGAAGGAAAGTGTTACCTGTGTGTTTGCACGAAGGTTTACTGCCTGTAAGAGATTTAAACTTTATTAATCTGACAAATTTAATTAGCAAAAGAAGTTTTCCAAGTATTCACCTAAATCATTATTGTGATGGAACCAATTATATCATTCTGAGAGATAAGTAATTTTACTCGTTTCAATATCATTTAGACATTCTGTATAACACTTAAAATGTTAGCATGCAATTCGTTTCCTTAATTTTAGACATGTATGTATCTACTAATTACATTTACACAACATTTTCGTTGCACCATGTTAAGTTGTTAACCAACATTAGCTGTCATAATACCTTTGGAACATACCTTTGAAACATTTATCTAACAAATTAACAATAGTAGATCAAAACGAAAAACAAAAGGTCAGGGTAGCTAATATATTTGAAACATATATCTTACAATACAAATGCTACCTTTGTATCATAATACATTCCCCCATTTTGACCAAAAAGTTATATTGTAAATTGCTCAAACTTACAATACAAATGCTATCTTTGAATCATAATTAGTACGTACCCACATTTTGACCAAAAAGTTATAACGGAAATTGCTCAAACGTAGCAAGTAAAATAAGACAGAGGTACAACAAGCTTTAGAAATAGAGTAGAACGGACGATACACATAAATGAAAAGAGTCTAACCTTGAGAAGATTGCAGATTATATCAACAACAGCAAGATCAATTTCGGTAGATGCAATTACAACTTCATAAACACCAACACATTGGTTAGTGTAAGGATCAAACACAGGAATTGCCAAAGTTCCGCATATGATATAGTTTTCCTTGGAACTACTTGGTTTCGGACAATTTTGATGATGATGCTTGTAAATATGCAAATTAGGCGCCCATAGAGGGCACCTAAGTCGAAATGCAGAGACCGAAACCTGCCTATTTAGAAGGTAAGTCACCTCTTCCGTAGTAGACAAGTACGGAATAAGGGTGTCAATGAGGCCAAACGAGCTACTGCTTTTAGTCTTTTGATCACAGGAATAAACTCGGGTTAACGATTCACATAAGTATCCCTCGGTCACATCTAGCATGAACTGTTGATCTTCGGTCCACGAACCAGGTATATTGCGTGGTGAAGATCTTAGTACATTTTTCTTGACGATTTTTGTTACTAACCATAATTGAACAGCTACAATTTGATTAGTCTTTAGTTGTGGATGGAAATCCAAAAGTGATTTCTCCAAGTTCTGTTCAGTGAAAAGCTTAACTGCAAGGTTATAATTTCAAAATATGAATTAGCCACATTATATGTTATTTCTTGCACCTTTGTATCCAAAACAATGGAGTGGATCTAGTCACTTGTCACCCGACCCGAATCGACCAAATATCAACCGACAACTGATTTGAGCTAATATCCTATATCAATCAAATATTGCTTTAAAGAGTTTAAACTGACCCGGTAATAGTCTGAACCCAAACTGACACCTAACCCAACTAGAACTCGAAACCTATTCTAATCCGACGTAACTAGCAATTGACCCGGCCCTAATGATTTGTAACATAGTACAAGCCGATTTGACTCATCATCGCTAAGTCAACCAGTCACAAAATAAGTTCATTATTCAATCTAAATCAATCTTGAGTTTAATTTGATTCCAATATAAAATTAAGTTTAGCATAACAAGGTATTGATAAATTATGTTCATATGATATACCCCTTGTTCGCAATTATTTAGGTTTAACATTATATTTGTCATAATGCTTGATCGAATGATAAAAGATAAAAGGAGTATAAGTTTTACTTGAACACACCAATATTGATCTGACTTGAACTTAACCCAAAATCAAGAATAACCTAATTTAAGATTAGCAAATCCAATAATAATTGATCTAACCCAAATCTTACCCCAAATTGAATTCACCCGCCATAAATTCGACTCGCATCAGAAAGGGTGAATGACATGACATAAGATGTACCGAACTTGACCCAACCGAACCTTAACCCAATCAAGAGATTGTATTTACTTAAAATGATCCAATCTGAGTTTGATCTGAAACATGATTTGGCTTGACCTTACTCTTACCCCACATAAATACCCGAATGAGGACTCTTGTAACAACAAAAACAAAAGATAAATAATTAACAAGAATTCATCTATAATGTTTTAATGAATATAATAATTAATTAAGGAAACAATCTCAAACAATGCGAACAACTATATATTGTATCATCAATATTTAATGAATCTATCCTTATTGGTTTGTGTTTTGTTAGTATCTATTTTTACCCCTATGAAGTTGGTGGGTTTTACTAGGCGACAATTTCTTTGATCGACAAATAATGATTCATATTTGCCCATATTTCAGGGTTTATTTTATTTAGCATATCAAAGCATAATTAGAAAAACTATGAATATATTAATCTTAGTTATTAACACAAATGAACCCATCAAACCACCACTTCGGAACTAAGTGAAACTTACCGTTACCGGAACCGTCATCGTTGACTTGGTCAATAAAATTGGAAACTGGAGAAAATGGCGGAACTAGCTCCTCAGGAAGCAAAACGGTGGGCCTTGGCTCGTCAACTCTGCTAAAGGTTCCCAAGGGTTCATCGTTTTCAACTTCGATTACATACAAAACAACACGTCGTCAGCTTTGATTTAATTGTCATGCTGCTAGTATATATAACCTAATGTCCTTCTGTAATAATACGATACTAACTAAACACAATAAAAACCCAAAACTAGAGCTCGATCTTACCTGTATTATTGCTTGAAAAATAATCGATGATCACCCAAGAAGGAAATTGTGGATCGGATGAAACAAAAGAGGTAAAGATCCCGTCGGGCACCGGCTCGGGCACGAGCTTTTGCGTAAGCATGACTTGAAGGTGTGAAATGTTTCTTGGAGCACTTGCCAAAGCAAAGAGATTGGATAACAACAGTGGATTAGTGTCCCAAAATCAAAGAAGAGGTCCATTTAAGAGTAGAAAAACAAATGAATCCTTCTCGAGTCACTATCAAGGTGATGTAAACATTTACAAAACTTAGACTCTCCGATCAGCGTTTGTATCTTTAGATGGGATGATCTGATTAGGATTGAGAAAAGGTCAGCTTTGACGCATGGATCAAATTATATCTGATTGAAATATTTTATATATAAGTTGGATTATATAATTGTATTTATATTCTAGATCTACGTTGATATTAGTAATTAAATAGTAATTAAACCATGATTAGCATCATAAAGGTGGTCATTATGGGTTGTGGACCTTGTGGCCCTTTTAGGTACCCAAATCAATGCAAGAACAATGTGTTTAGAACGATTGGAGAATAGAGGAGTTTCTTGGGCTGTTAAACCCAAATTTGTGACATGGACATTGTATGCAGGGCCTTCAATAAAAATTTGGCAAAGAAAGTATTTGTAATTTTGTATACATTACAGTTTGTAGGAACGAATTACTACGCAAATGTGACGCGTGTTACGTACTTTCTAACCCTAGAATTAACAATATTCTAGGAAGATAGAAATTGATTAAAAATAAAAGATAAAATCTCCTAACAAATACTATTCCATAAGATAATTCCCAAAAACATATTATACGATATGCCGATATTATCTCATTACCCTCTCAAGTTGGAGTATGAGGTTTGAAAATTTCCAACTTGAAAAGCAAATAATCAAACTGTGACTTGCCAAAAGCTTTTGTAAAAATATCCGCAAGTTGAGACGAGGTCGAAACAAGAGAAGGAGAGACCAAGCCTTCATTAATCGCATCACGAACAAAGCGACAATCAACCTCAAAGTGTTTTGTTCGTTCATGAAACACTAGATTCCTTGCAATGAGTAATGCAGACTAACTATCACAAAACAACTTGATCGTCTTTGAATGTTACACACCCAAACTTAACAATAAAATCCTAAGCCACTTTAGTTCACAAGTTACCGCAGTCATGGACATGTATTCGGCCTCAAAGACCTTGACACTGTATGCTGCTTCTTCGTTTTCTACGAGATAGGTGACTTACCCAAAAATATGAGCCAACCGGAAAAAGAACGACAAGTGAGAGGACAAGCCGCCCAATCTAAGTCACACTAACCCTGCAAATTCAGGTCACAATCTGCACTGAACAAAATTCCCTTACTTAAAGTACCTTTCAAATAACGAACCACTCGCAAAGCCGCATTCCAATGCTCACTTCAGGGATCGTGCATAAACTGAGACAAAACATGAACCGAATAGGCCAATCAGGACGAGTAACCACTAGATAGATTAAACGTCTCACAAGTCTATGATACAACTCTGGATCCGAAAGAAGATCACTATTAGCAAGGCCAAGTTTGTGGCTTTGCTCTATCGGAAGCCCACTTGGCTTGGCGCCTAATAGCCGTGCTTTAGAAATGATGTCCAACGTATATTTTCGTTAATACAGAAACAAACCTGTAGAGTTACGGGCTACTTCTATGCCCAAAAAATACTTCAAAGGACCGAGATCTTTCATCTTGAAACAATCAGTGAGATAGGCTTTAAAAACAGTAAGCGCAACGAAATTATTCCCAAAAATAACTAGATCAATAACATACACTTAGACATTTATTTGAACATTGTCTTTAGTATATGTAAACAAAGAGCAATTAGAATAAGATTGCAGAAATCCAAATTGTTTTAAAGCTGTTATGAGCTTTTTGCAAACTAACATCTGGGAGCTTGTTTCAAACCATACAATAACTTACGCAATCTGCAAACCAATGAAAGATCCGAGCTTTCATAACCGGGTGGCAACTTCATGTAAACTTCCTCATCAAGGTCACCATATAAGAAGGCATTATGAACATTCATTTGATGAAACTCCCAATTTTTTGAAGCCGCGATAGCAAGAAAAGTTCGAATCATTGTCATTTTTGCAACCGGAGCAAAACTTTCTTCATAATTAACACCTGCCTGTCAGATCAGCTGATGGGGTTGCGTCCCTTGGGTGCTGATCCAGCAGCAGCTGGCAATCCCACCCTACGACATTAAAATTTTATCACCCAATTCATAATCCACATTAATATCATCCATCGTAGCATAAGCATGCGAATTAATATTCACATCATCCGGACAACTAAAAGGAAAAAACATCTTCCACGAATTTCACATCACGAGAGATAAAAAATTACTTTGTATCAAGATCATACTACCGCCATCCACCCCCAAGAAAACACATTTACGACTCCCGTTAGTAAACTTATCTCCTTTAGTCTTTTGATTATGAGCAAAACACAAACACCTAAAAGTACAAATATCATCAAAAAAGGAGATTTATTGAAAAGAATTTTGAATGGGGTTTTATTTTGTAGGAGTGGAGTTGGAGTTCGATCAATCAAATGAGCTGCAGCTAAAACATATTCACCCCAAAAATAAATAGGTAATTTAGATTGGAATCTCAAGGCTCTCCCAACATTAAGTATATATGTTTGTGTTTTCACTCTACTCTCCCATTGTTGAGGAGTTCCCACCTACGAGATGTGAAACATAATTCTAATTGCAACAAAATAATCAATCAAACAATTAAATTCGGTTCCATTATCACTTCGAACAATTTTAATTGTTTGATTAAATTTCCTAAAAACCATTGCAACTCAAAAGCCATAAACATCTGAAACACTTTCGTCTTATCAATCAACAAATAAATCCAAATAGCTCGGGAATAATCATTAACAATAGTTAAAAAATAACAAGCTCCACACGACGAAACATGTCTGTACGGACCCCACAAATCATAATGTATTTTTTCAAAAATTCTAGATGATTTATTCTCACTGAAAGGAAACTTGTCTATGATGTTGAGCACGAAAACACACCTCACATCCCTTAGCTAAACTACCTTTATTGACGCTAACATGAGGAAGCAACTTAACAACTCTCTCTGAAGGATGCCCCATTCTTCTATGCCATAGATCCAAATCTGATGTTGCTTCGATCAAAGACACACGTTACACCACATCTGGTTTGCTAAGGAAATAAAGTTTGTCTCGCCGAAGACCCGTTCCAATCAACTTCTTCATTTGGTCCTGTATAGCACACATATATGAATTAAATTAGACAACAACGTTTAACTGATAAGTAAGTTGGGAAACAAAAATTAAAATTGCAAGTTAAATGTGTCACAAAACGGACTCCAATGATAGTGATGTTTTCTGACAAACGAACAAATCCTTCCAAAATAGCAAGCACACTCTCACCATTTGGTAACCCAACTGGACATGCAATGTCGTGAGTATCAAATAACCAAGATTTATCACCGATAACATGATATGATGAGTTGCTCCGGTATCAATAATCCAGGCCAACAAGTATCATCGAACTGACTATTTAGGCGATTCTCAAGGATTTTTGCATTTCGTGGTTGCATCCAAAATTTTCTCATTCTTGAGATCCATTAAAACATTAACAAGTTCTTGTTAGCTAGCTTGTTTAATTGGTAATTAACGAGTGATAGTGTTAACGCTTTAATGGATCTCAAGAATGAGAAAATTTTGGATGCAACCACGAATAAGGGACATGAATCGATAAAGGTTACACTTTTCAACAATCCATAAGATCATTGAACCACATACAATAATGTAACTTGAACCATTTAGGATTCAAGGATGGTGGTATGAAGTTAACCAAGAGTTAGTGTTCAACCGAATTTGCCACAACTCGATTCTAATATATATTGACATGTGGGATATTTTAGTGTTTGAATAGCATGCACATACAAATTATATTGAACCCTAGAATCATGCTAATTGTTAACATAAATTTAACAAACATAAATATTAATTCTAGTGACCACGTTAAAGTAAACTGAATAAAAAGGATTGATCCTAGCTAATAGCCCAAATATATCCTATATTTGTTATGTAATTCAAATTAATTCGGTCTTGATTAGCAATATTTAATTCAATGGTGATAGTAAATAATTAAAGACATACAATTATACACAATTATACAACCATATACTTATATATATAATAAAATACCTGTATACAATTATACACTAGAAAAGCAGTAGAATTTTGATAACCTATATTTAAAATATATTAATCAATAAAATAAATATACTTTAATAGAATACAATTAAAACATGGAAAAGGTTTTAATTAGTGTTTGAAATAGAATCTATTCTTATATACTAAAGTAATCCCCATGTTCCAATCTAACCTAGGCTATATCTCACCTAGCCGCCTCCTTTTCTCCCTCCTCTCTCCTCTCTCCTCTCTCTTCTAGGGTTTTAGTAGTCTTGGTTGTTTAGGTCGGAAATATTCTAATCTACGAAAAAAATTAGACTATTTTCGACCCTTTTTCTTTAATATATTAAATTTGGTTTATTGCTTGGTTCGCTTTTTGTTTGTTTTGCATTGCTTTGTTCTCTCTATTTGTGAGAGAGTTTGTCCCAATTTTTTTGGGGTTTTCCCAATTTTCTGGGATTTTTATTCTTATCTATGGATAAAAACTTTTTTTAGGGTTCTAATAATAATTGGGAAGGTGATTTGGATTCATATAGATTTAGGGTTTGTCTGTCAACTCTACGATCAAAATATCAGCGGAGATTGCGAAAATCTCTACTTGGAAAGATGCAAAGACATCGAAAATCACTGCTCGCATCAAGTTTGAAGCGGTGGAGTGTAAGTTATGCCAAATATGCAAATTAGTTATGATTTTGATTGTAAAATTATGTTAATTTCTCTCTAAAACTATCGTTTACAAATATTTATTTTTTATTGTAGATGTCGTATGGCTATTCATTAATGATATTATGTCTTTCTGTCCAAAAAAATACTAAATTAATCCCCATATTTATCCCCAAAATACACGTGTAATCACCTTATAAAAAATTTACTCGCCAAAATATTTTGTTACTAAATTTATTTTTTTTGTTATTAAAATATTACTATATCTCAGGAAAAAAGTTTTTGCTTTATATTTATGGAATGATATGATGCACAACAAGAATAATTTTGATAATTTAAATATAATAAAAAAAATATAGTGGTAAAGAATAAAAAAATATTACATGTAGAATATTAACAAAAAGGGTTGTTTTTTTTTTTTTAATAATTTTGTTATCAACAAGAAT